TTTTGCTGAATTATTTGTAAAAAAGATAAGGATGTTATGTGTTATGTCGGTGAGTCGTTCAAAATTAACGAAATTGAATCGATCATTAACAAAAAAAAACGTCCAGAATTAAAAAATTGGAGTTTTGACTTATTTTCTATGCCAAAACAGCTCTTTGCCATACACCTCATTGATCACTCGAAATAAATCAAGTTTAAAGCAATGTTTTAGATACGACCTTTGGCCCAGCTGTTCTATTCACTAGTTCTAGCTCCAGACGATTAATATTAATGCCGGTCAACGCTGAACTCCATGAATCGAAAGAAACTCTAAAACGAAGAGGTTATAAAAAAACCACTATGGGCCAATTTTATGAAGATGGTATTACGCAATTGGGGGATGAATGGAAACGAGTTAAATTATCAATAAATAATCATCATGTATGTAGATTAAAATAAATTTTATGTCTTTAATACACCGATTTTATTTAATTCTGAAAAATTGAAATGACTCTTTTGCCAAATCAATATTTTTAATTTCACATTTTTTTTAACATGACGGCTTAAACTAAAAAAAAAAACCTCTCTAAAAACAAGCCAATACCACTTGCACCCAACACCCCCTAAATTAGCTTGATGAATCCTCCACCCTCCCTTATAGACCCGCGGTAGGCATCTGTAATCCTCCCCTAAAGCCGACGACAGAGACGAAGAAGCGTCCCCCCAGGGGTTCGGTGTACCGCAGGCCACGTCGAGATCATCCAGACAGTTTTTCCAAATTAGATGGAGGGGGGACCTCGACAATTTACAAATTGCTCAAGTTAGATTGACTGCCGAGTTTGGAATTAAGTAGAAGCCCCTGCATGCGGACACGAGTTGGGGGAGTCAGGGTCTGTCATCCTTATTAATTAGGAAACCGTTCCACCTCGAACCTGTTATTTTTCTAACTGGCAATCTTACCTTACAGTAACCATGTTTTCTTATATCCATATTTGTCCATTGCCAATTAAAGATTTCATAATATTACTTCTGTTTTCAGAACTGTCTTCATTCATACTTATTTTCAAAAAGTCTGAGGGCCAACGCCAGATAAACTTCGAGATTAATTGTAGGGATGATTCGAACCTAGATAGGATTGTGCCAGGGGATTCAGATGATAAATAAGATTCTGGTAAAATTTTGTAGGTTACTTATAACGGAACATCAACTATTGTTCGAAGGACTTAGGAGGGAAAATTGTTTGATTTAAGAAATTTGCGCTGGCCCACACAAATCCTAACGGCAGTCCAACGATCCTAAAGGTTTCGGGATTGTCTTGTAGATAAGTAATTTGTTATCAACAGAAAGGTGAGATTTTCTATTCAGTAGTCTATATAGCTACCCATATTGTCGGTTGAGTTCTTATATTTTGTGCCCAGTATGTAATTATATTTAAGACCAGGACTGGTAAAGGAAATCAATTTTTTGTAAAGTAATTAAGAGAAAATAGTTACTAGTACTTGACAATCTTAGTTACTATATGTAAATAATCAGTATAACCAATATACTTTTGCATTTAACTCCTCTACTTTTTCATTAGGGCTTAATTAGGTTTCTCCTATCTGAAAAATTACAGTAATATCTCTATAGTAATAAGCTAATAAATAACTGCAAGACTGTTGCGAAACTCTTGCGCAAGACCAAGAGCATGACCAAGACTGAGTTTGCAAGACCAAGACTTGTCTCTAAATAAGTATTTCGTGTTTCATTGTGGTAAATACATAAGGATTAAAAGTAAGTGGTATTTTCTTTGAACTCTCATTATCTGCAAGTTATATGAGATTTTATACCAGCGATTTGAAAAATAAATCTAGGACTGTATATGCCACCTTGAATAAACAAAAAGTCCATCCATAAATAAATTAATGTCCCAATATAAGTTTTTCGGTAGTTCTATAGAATCTTATTCGATCTAATAAATTCATTCGCTTTTTATCTTTTCATGTGTTCTGTTCCCATCTATTGTGACATTCATAGTTGTGTTGTACAGGTTTCATGATGATTCACGATTCAAAAAATCTATGCTCCAGCTATCTCAATCGCCTTGTCTATTTATTCTTATAATCACTAACAGTTTCTGTCATCAATGCGCCAGTACTGCGATCCTAAAATTTTCCGACTATCGTGGAGAGAAACATTTTTTCAGTTCCTTTCATATTTTCTAGTTCTTTTTTATAGGATTTCTGTTTGGAGTATAGGTAACAACCGACCATCATTACTAGTTTTGTCGTAACCATTTGAATTTTACAGATTTGTCGGAATTTTAGTGGCTTTGGAAGAGAGAAGAAAGTTCTATAGTGTTTGTTAAATCCTGTTCTATCTCATATAGTAGATAACTTATCAAAGTATTAGATTCTGTTGTGGGATAAGATTTTTCCGCTTTACTATCATATATTTTGTTTTATCTTCATTTACTTGTAAGACGGTTTGTTTTTTTCTTTTCTCCCCTGCCTCACCTATTCGTCTATACGTTTTTTTTTCGGGTCAGGGTAGATGGCGGCGGATTAATAGCAGAATTATAAACTCTATACCGGAACTTAAACTCGTGAGATTTAGTTTATCAGGTGGCCGGAGTGTGTTATGCACATGCCTTAGCCCACTAACACACTATAACTAATGCAAACTGCCTCCCCCCCCCAAAGGCAGATATGGATCTCTCAGCGAGTATTTCTATGACCTCTAGGTTGCTTCAGAGAACAGATATATCATCTGCCTCATCTAGGATTATATGATCCATCCTCGGTTATGCAAACGTTAATTTTCATTTGGTGTTTTTATCACTTACAACATTAAGATGAGTGCAGTTTATATATTCGTATTATGTTTGAGTATGATAAGTTTAAAAATTGATAACGAAACATATGAAAAACGAACATATGAAATATACTACGAATAAAATTGAAAAAAAAAAAAGAATGAATCAATTACTTAACGTTCATTATTAAATATTTTAATCTATAATAATATTATACGCCAGTTACTGACTGCATAACCTATAGAACTTTACCGTTATCCAAGGCCACACATCACCTGGAATTGACAAGCGACAGGATGTCCTGCATCCTCTGCATTGTATCTACTTCAGGAAGCTGTCCTGTCTGGAGTGTCCTCCAAACTTTCAGGATCACCATTTTGTTTGGTTTTGGTCCGGTACAGAACCAATCTGGATAACCAATCATTCATTGATTGATGGATATCAGATATATTGATGTTATATATGTATTATCGTTTCTTTAACTATCCCTTAAATCGGAGGTTTCCAATATTTTCATTGCATCCGCGAGTAAAAAAAAAAAACAAAAAGAAAAAACAGAAAAAAACTTTTGACTTGATTTAGTACCAGTGACGCAGTAAAAAGAACAGTTCTTGAGTTCTGCTTTTCCCAGCATCTTCTAGTTCGAAGTTATCTTGGCTGATTATAGACATTGTTATTTTATTTGGCCTATCTTTTTTTTCTCTTTTTATTTTATTTATGATTTCTGTAAATACAGTTTGAATGAAATATTTTCTCATAATGGCTACTTCAAATAAAGTTTAATAAATGAAAGTTTAAATAAATAAAATAATTTCTAGTAAAAACAAAAAAAAAATTGAAAATATTATAGAGGAAATTTGGACGAAAAATAAATCAATGGATAAGTTTCATTTACTTTATCATAAAATATATATTATTTTTTAATATATATTATTTTTACTTCTCTTCATATTTAATATAAAAGAAGAATTAGTGCGATTTTTGAGACTGCGTTTAATTAGCTGCTGATTTTTTCACAATTGAGAGTAAAAGTCATCTTATGATTAAATCCTCATTTAAACAATCGCCAAGGTGGACATTACTAATTTGAAATTAGCTTTTTGATTTTATGATAGGAAAACAAATTTAATTAAATTGAGAAATTTCAGCTAAATTCTAAAATTTTAATTTTGAGATTTTAGAGTGATGTTATTTTGATAATTAGAAAATCAAATGAATTGAACTCAATCTTCTTGAAGAAGTTCTGTTACAGATTTATTAGTTTCAGCGATGCAGTGAGTTGGATGACGCAAATTGCATCAACAAATTTTTTAGGCAGCTTATTTTTACCGATTTAGAGAAGAAGGGGCAAACTTAATGAGCTACGAATTTTGTAGAGGGAAGCGTATTTTATGAGGGACTTGAAAATCAGAGAGCAAGGGAAAAACAAAGCTACAGGAATTGTCAATATACTACAGTTTCAATAATTTTGTTTTCATTTATATCCCTTTAAAGAAAGAAAAACAGTAAGAATTCTTGGGAGTGAGGAGGGTGCTTGTAACATTGCACTAGGAGGGATGTGCATACCTGAAATATTATTTATTAGTGCAGAATATATATATATATATTATCTCAGGGCAACGTAATGGGTAATTAGTGAAGGAATTTTAAATTTGTTTGAAATTATTATCATTTTATTTTTTTAAATTTTCAACACGTTCTCGTTAGCGGAAGACAATAGCTCCCAAGAAGTTACAAGATATTAAATTTTAAATAAACACGTTTTATTAAATCATAAACGATATTTATTTATAATGATGTAGAGTTGGTTGACCGTTGATATGATATGAGAAGGAATTAGTCGAGGGTGCGGTCAAAAAAAAAAAAAAAAAATTAAAATATATAAATAATTTTAATTTTTGCCGACGTTTCGACCCACTTTGCAGGTCGTCTTCAGGGCGTTGGATGTGGCACTGCGGGAGGCGGTTGAAACACAGTGTTTCAACCGCCTCCCGCAGTGCCACATCCAACGCCCTGAAGACGACCTGCAAAGTGGGTCGAAACGTCGGCAAAAATTAAAATTATTTATATATTTTAATTTTTTTTTTTTTTTTTTTGACCGCACCCTCGACTAATTCCTTCTGATATTTATTTATTTTTTTTGGTGGGTGTGTGAGTAGGAATTGATCTCTTTATGACCAATTTATTTATTTATTTTTTTTTAAACTGTAAGCCATACTTAAGAGGAACTAAATCCAGCATCTAATTGAAAGGCTGAGTGAGCCTCTTCCACGAACCGCTCTGGATAGGAGACATTCCGCCGCTGAATCAGCTCTGGTTATTGAGGACCTCTCACTTCCCGTCATCAAAAGTGCGGCCTCCAGTTCCAGGTAGATATGGAAGAGTAATGGCTTCCTGAGGACTCTCCGTCCTCTCTGGAATTTATATTATATAGGTGCCTGCCTGAACATTTCCTATAAAACTGAGGCTTCATGATCTGACCACGAAAAAATGAAAAAAAAAATGAGTAGCCCTGATGGAAATGTAAGTGAATATATTAGAATTTTTTTATCAGTACCGACAGAAATCGCTTATTGATAAGTGATATCGCCTACATTCAACTATTAGAAATAAAGTATTGACTGGACATTACATCCCTAAGGAAAATGATAAGTATTGTTTAACAGCCGAAAAAATCTAAATCTATACATACACAACATAACCTCGATTATCTGGGCACATGATTACCTATTGATTTTTTCCTGAAATTTTTCTACATTTCTTGATATTCGCTTTTCTAACGGCATTAATTTGTATTTATTATATGTATAAGATATATAATTCGATCGGTTCCAGATAACCGATGTATAAGATAACCGATCTACTTTAAAGTATATTAATTATATATTTTTAATATGAATAAGCAAGACAGTACAGACTTCCTTTTGTGATATACTATATAAAATTATTAATCAAATCGAATTTCCTTTCGAAAGGTATCGTGTTCTCAACTTACGATTATATCTAAATGATGGCATGCAGCAATAAAAGCTAAATACCAAGTTCTGATAAAAAAGGAACTATTTATAAATTAGATATTATAATTATTGATACATTGTGGATGCTAATTGGGCTTGACTAATTAATTTATTACTTTATAGATTGCCAACACAAATTTACAAAGGAAAGTTTTAAAAGACTTTATCAGCTGATTATATGGTTACATTATCCTTCTCCAATAGTTTCATCTCTTCGTTTCAATCTTTCCTCTCATAACGTACCCAAGCATTTTCCATACCAAATCAAACACTATATACCTACCTTTATATATCCTCTGGAGTTAACCAGGGTTCCAGCATATCTCCTTATCTTTTCAGCTCGTATATTAACGACCTACATGATTCCTTCATTGTTCCCACCTCCATTATGCCGACGATTCTTAAATCTATCTATCCTTTTCTCCCATTGAGTTATTGGTAACATTTGCCGACATTCAAGAAGATATAGATCGAATCAGTGCCTGGGCAAACTTACAACGGATTAAGGCTAAATGCTCCTAAAACTTGATATATTGCTCACATTCTCACGTCGTACAATGTCTACTGTGAACTATTCCATTCCGCTGTCTCCTAGTTATAAAATACCCGTGGACTCCTAGTTTCCTTTTTCATCTTCCCCCACTTTGACTACAGCTGTGTGGTATACACGATGGCCTCTAGGTGAAACACCGTGATAGACTTATTTATTGTTTCAAATTTGTATGCCAGAAGTAGTGTTTTCTTTTTGTACAATATTGTTATTCCAAAGGTTATTATTATTATAAATATTTTTTTATCTATCTATCTATATAGTTGAATCCCAGCTATTGCCTTCTTCGAGCACCTGGTGCCTCTAATGTCCTCTAACTGTTTCTTCTCAACTGTCTCCCGTCTTCACAGCGATGCAGATCTTACCAGGCATTGCTTCCAGTTTCTCTTAAAAGTCTCCAGTTGACTTCTCATCTAGAACACCTCTCTAAACCTCTCCTCTAACAGACTATCTTTCCTATCAACAAATATATTGTCTTCCTGTGCCGATGGCACATGTATTCCATCAGTTAATAACGATCCATCTATTGCATCCCAAACTCTTCAATCACACATCATAAAGCTTGAAGAATGGTGTCAAAACTGGAGGATTAAAATAAATTCCAATAAATCACCTTTACCCTTCGTCGTAAACCTATGACGTTCTGTACTACAGTATCCTTTAATAACACCCCACTTATCCCTTTTGAACGAATACGATACCGAAGACTCCATCTGAACAAACGTCTCACTTGGTATCGTACAAGTCTGAAACTTGAAACTACTTCAAACAAGACAGACGCTCTAAACTTCCAATTAATTACGAAATGCTTATATAGATGGCTATAGTAAGACCTATTTGGACTTACGGAGTTGAGCTATGTTGCTCCACTAAACCATCAAATTCCTCTCCTATCCAATCTTTACAATCTAAAATGCTTCGTAAAATTCTCAATGCTCCTTACTTTGTCACAAATAAAATAATCCATAAAGACCTTAATGTTCCATATGTTTCCGATTTGGCCCAATCCAGATACCTATCATTCCAAAATAAACTTCATAACGATCCAAATCCTCTCGTTTCTAACACCGCTTCCTCTTAGATTCTTGATAACCCTTCGAGGCAAATTCGATTGGTAAATTACCTGTATTTACTAGATTTATATATCTATATTTATCATTATTCCATGAAATGTACCTCAGTTCACACATCAGCACCCTTGATATATAGTAATTTATGATCTTTATTTATTTACAAGCAATGAATTTGAATATTATATTAAATTTTAAATTTAGTAGCAGGATGAAGGAATAAACACTCGCCATCATTTTTGAGAAGTTTCCTGTTCGTGCAGCTGTGTCCTCGTCATTACCAGAGGATATACACGTATTAATACACACACATATTAATTTTTAATTACTGTTATTATTAATTTAGCCGAGATTACAAATGTAATACATTGAAGCTGCTGAGCTTAGGATTAAATACCCGTGGATATGAAGCTCAGCCTACTTTACAGGATCATCCGCTAACGTGATTACATATTTACATGCTGATTTCCCGCTAACTGGAATTGTCAATAATAGAGGTTATAATTTATATTTAAATTAAATATTATGGCTTAATAGAAGCAGTATTTTATACGAAATCCAAATTTTTTTCAGAATTAAATTAAGTTACCAATGTATAGAATGTATTGTAGTCATATAAAAAAAAAAAAAATATTTTTTATTTTAGCTATTCCATGAGACTTTATATATTTAATAAATCTGCTGAGTACATAAGCACGTGTATCTGATTCATCAAATAACATCCGAAATTCGTGTAGAATAAGAAAAGGTTCAGTTATTACAGGAAAATAACTTGGAAGAAAACAATTTAAAATAGAATGCTTTGTACTACCAATTCTTTTTTACGAACACGGTATTTCTTAAAGTATGATTATTTAAAGAAAGATTATGTGAGTTATACTTAAGCGTTAGCCATGATCTAGTCCTATTCCCATGTAATTACATAACCTGATCTTGATTATGTAACAGATAATTGTAATCGGGAAAAAAGATCTCAACTTAAGTTGGATCCAATATGCTCAAATGTTTGTCTCTGCAGTTTTTTTTATTATTCTCTTAGAGAATACTAATAAATAAAAAGATAATTATTTCATTTTATGCCGACGTTTCGGCCTAAGTTGGAGGGCTTCATCAGGAATCCTACACATAATGTTTTTTTTTGTTTTTTCCTTGTTTTAACCTTCAGAGGATGAGGGTTAAAAGCCCCAACGGCACTGGGAGGTAAACTTGTAATTATTTTAATCATTAAATTTTAGTTAATCTGGTTGCCGTGCAACTAGTGTTGCCCAAATGCAAGACCGAGACGAGTCTTGGTCTTGCAAACTCAGTCATGGTCATGGTCTTATTCTTGCGCAAGAGTCTCGCAAGTCTTGCAGTTACTTATTATCATATTACTATAGAGATATACTGTGTTTTTTTTTAAATAGGATAAACCTAATTTAGCTCGAAGGACAAATTAGAGGAGTTAAATGCAAAAGCATATTGGTTATACCAATTATTAACATATAGTTACTAAGATTGTCAAGTATTAGTAAGTATTTTGCCTTAATTTTTATTTAAAAAATCGATTTTTTTTTACAAGTCCTGGTCTTGGTATTGCAACATTTAGGTGGCCTTGGTCTCGGTCTTACAAAGTGCAAGACCAAGACCGATTTTTGGCAACACTTCGTGCAACGGAGTTTTACACACACCTTGGCCCGCTCGACCACTCTAAACACACATATATACATTTATCTGGGGCATATAAAAATTTTCTACACAGTAATATCAATAGCAATATGATAAAAGGAGAAAAGCCAAAAAACAAGTGCTATAAAAAATGCTTTATTTCAATTAATGCCGCAGCTCATGCGGCACTAATTGTAAGTTAAGATTAACTTTTTTTTCTTAGACTCCCATATTTCTTATATATTACAATATCATCTTATAATATATTTATGTATTTGTAAATAATACCGGATGATGAGGTAAAACAAAATTCGTAGTAAATTGGTGCGGAATGAGTTTCCCCTTGGACTGCCCCTTGGACTCATGGTGAGTAATACTTCTCAAAACTAATTCATACCAACAATTCAAAAATGTATGATAAGTCTGAACTAATCGTAACAATCATAATTATTAATATGCCTATGCAGACAATCCTACTGATTGTTACCTTTACTTTTGCTATTTCGTTCATAAGCTGTTTCGGATATCACTATATATTCTTGAGAACGAGTAATTTATCAAACTTTTTCAATGCTGATACAATCATAGTTTACATATTTATATTTATTCCTATTGCTCACTTATACTTCTCTTAATTGAAATGTCTAATAAAGTCATCAAAGCAAAGGAGCCTTGGCAATAACATACCTTCATTGACGGTTATCAGTGTCCGGGGTTAATCGAGTGTATTCTGTCCTTTAAATTAGATTATATTTTTTATCAAACGATGAAGGGAAAGAGCGGTATAAGTGACTGGGGCGGAGTGGCCAAGTGGACTAACGCGTTTGTAATATACGCATTGCCTGAATACCTGATAACCTGAATATTATCAGTTTTATAGGGGTTGATGAGTTCGAGTATCGGGGTTGGGACATTTTATTAAGATGACCAAGCACGATAGGCTGTAAGGTAGGTTAATTCATTCATATCAGGTTGTTTTGTGAAATAGATACTTCGGAGGATTACCAAGAATTGTTTTAGATGAACCAGAGGGTTAGGGAAACCACCGAGCTTAGAAAGAAAAATATTGTATATAGGTGTGAATGTGTTTTATTTACTTTAATGTCATTTAGCTTTTATCCACTATTTCATTTTCATGTACACAGGCATATCAATTTATTTATTTTATTTTTCTATATTTCTTTTCCTTTATTATCTAAATCTTAGTTATTATTTGTATGTACATATAGTGTCAATGATTCATGTAGCCTTACTATTAATGCCCTTTAATGTGGCAGAGTGTATTAAAATTTAATAATAAAAAAAAAATAGGAAAATAGGGTTAAAAAGAATGATTTTGGCCAAATTTGTACTAAAGGGAATATTTAGGTATTTATGGATAATTTCACTTGTAACATAATAGGGAGCTTTAAGGATTCTACGAAGGAGTTTTGTTTGAAAGGTTTACCTTGATTGAAAGGACATACGGCAGAAATTAGATGGTTTTGAGAAGCCACAAACTTAACTCCATAAGTTGAAATAAGCACAAAAGCAATATTTAAATTGCAACAAGTAGGTAGCGGTAAGGAAGTGCTTACCATCCAAGACAAGATGACCAACAAAACGTGCAGTAATAAAGGGCTGGCCAAATCCAGGCGACGCTTTTTTCTCCTTTTTCCTTTTTTTCGTCCTGGAAAAGGACGAAGAAGGGAGAGGGTCCTTAATGTGATTAATTTTCTCATTAAACAGACCCCGGGCGAGGTTTTCCAGGCCGGAAAAGCCTCTTCTCTTATTTTCCACACCGGCCTAACGAATGGCCACAGAATCCTTTTTTACACTTAATCCGCTTCCCTTAATCTTGATCCCGCTCCAGTGTGTGTTCCTACGACCTTTTCCCGGCTTGGTATAAATCCAGTCCAAATGTGTCTAAGAGATCACGTTGAAGGAATATAATAATTAATACAAAAAGAAAATACATTTATAAATTACAAACTGTTCCGCTAGGATTCATACAGGTTAAATTAATTTTATAATATAAAGAAAAAACCCAATTTTTATTTCTATTTTTCCTTGTAACATGCACTATATTTTAACTCAATTTTTTTGGCTATGTATCAACAAAAAATCATTGGAATTGTAGTTCTGAAGATGGGAGTAAATATCCCAAAACGTTAACTTGTAAACATGTAATTTGAAAATACAACAAATAAATTCAATTGTTGTTAATTGGAAGTAATTATTGTCAAATAACAAAGCAATATATGAATATGAAAAAAAAAATTGTAAAACTTATTTATTTAGAAATATTACAATTTGTTTCAGTTCAGGACATTTATAATAGTGTTCAGAGAATACATTCACACTCTATGTAGAGAGTAATTAATGGTTTTAATAGAATTTACTGTACCTTGTCTAATATTTCCTTTCACTTCCATTCATATGACAATACTATTTCTAGGAACCTATTCTATTAGGAAACATTGCACATACCATTCAAATAAGAGTTAGGGCCCATAGAACGAATAATTATTTACCGAAGAGAGGTGATTGGTCAGTATTAATCCCAACAAGGTCAACTTTAAATGTAACTTTGATAAAAGCTATTATTTGAATTCATAGAAACGAATAATCGAAGTGCTAAAGAAATTCGTAATATGAAATCTATAACTCAAAGGATATCTTATATTTTCTGCTAATTTAAAGTTTAATAGTTTATT